TGGCTGCCTACATGAGGTTCAAGTACCCCAACATTGTGCACGGCAGTCTGGCCGCCAGTGCTCCCATACTTATGCAGGACCCGGCCGGACCTCACGACTTCTTCTTCTCCCACGTCACCAACGTAAGTTGTCAGTTGATAATGATAATAATGAAAATAATGGTTGATAATGATAATAATAGTTCGTCTATCAATAGTTAACAGTGACCAATGCATCTGCAGCTCAGATGATAATTTTTTTTTGGGTATTAGACTTGGGCAAAGGTTTGTTTAAAGTGTGAGTGGTAGTGCCAGCATTAGGTTCCCTCTCTTGCCTTGGTACATTGTGTCTGACGGCAAGATAAAGGTGTTAGTTTTAATCTTTATTGCTAAGGTGGCCCTTGAGAAAGTTTATACAAAGACATAATTTGAAAAGCTAAATGAAATTGTGAAAATAGAAAAAATTGTTGGCATGGTTTATGATTGCTTAAGTTGGGGAGCTGGTATATAGAATGGTGTCATACTAGTGGTGTTGTTGTTTTTTTTGTCTCCCTTGTGCAGGATTTCAAAGGCTACAGCGAAAAGTGCTATTTGGACATCAGAGCTGCATTCCGTGAGATGGATGTTCTGTTTGCACAGGGACAGTCAGGTACTTCACTTTGCCGTCATCATTTTCTGTCATCAGTGTCTTCATTTGAGTGTTAGAAGTAGGTGGTTAGCGGGTGCTCTGATGTGGTTTGCTCCTTCTTTCCTATCAAACATCTATCGTCCTTATCTCCCCTCCTTCTTTTTTATGTTTGTTACTCTCTTGCCACACCTCTAATCTTCGGCACTCATATGACCTAATTGTGGCGCAAGTGCTGTTAAACGTTTACTAAAATAAAACAGTTTAGGTGGAGGGGGTTGTGGTTTAATTTAGTTTTTGTTAGAGTTTTGCGGCACTTGCAACACACATGGACGAGAGAATAATGTGCAATGAATAAAAGTGTTTGACCACTCCAGAGCACCCACCAACCACTGACAGAGGTGTGGTTTGTGTGTGAGTGCATCTCCCTAGGTGTCCCAAGTCACAAATCAGTTGCTTATTTTGAAGGCATTTTATGAGACCTTTGGTCCTAATTGGGGTTTTTTGTGTGGTTTTTTTATTAAAAATTTTTTTTTAATTGTTGAAATTTTGTATTAACTTTTGTGTCCTTATCTTTCAAGGTTTGGACAAGATCAGCAACGACTTCTTCTTGTGTAACAAACTGACAGACAAACAGTCGTACCAACATCTGCAGGGCTGGGTGAGGAATGCCTTCACATTCATGGCCATGTTGGACTACCCATACGCGACAAGCTTCATGGGGGGCTTGCCCGGACATCCCGTGAAGGTAATGTTATGGTCTGCTCGTGTTGAAAGTCAGTTTTCATTCCAGATAGAGGGGGCTGTCGTGGTCTAGAGGTCAGTGATGCTATTCTTCCTCGGATCCGAGGAATTTAGAGTTTTTGAGCCTTCCGAGGAAATTTCTCATCAATCTTCTTGGAGTTACTTCTCAGATTCGAACCCTATGAAACACGCTAATAAATTTAAAGTTTTTACAATTCATAAGTATGAAATTATAAAAGGTATGTTATGCTTAAAGAGTATAGCATCAATTGAAAATATACAAATTTGACCCTAGTGTCAATGTTAGCCTATATCTGCATTTATGGATTGCGAGAAATAACTCATTTTGTCAGCATGCCTCACATATGAACTTTTTCTTTGATGTAATCAAGAGGCTGTTTTTAGAAACAAATTTCTTTCACTCGCTCTGACAGAATCTTGTGATTTCTTTTTTCTTTCTTCCGTAAAGGTTGGCTGTAACAAGATAATGAGTGCAAAATCACTACTCTCTGGATTGGCCGACGCTGCAGGTACTACTATACTGAAAGTGTGCTTTGTGTCTTCGTCCACCTTTCTAACACCC